AATTTGTTAGTTAATTAGTTAAACACAAAAATCTAAATATCTATAAGTTAGGAATTGTTCAAGTTTGTCTTCTTGGTGATAGTGAACATATGTAGCTAAACCTTAGTTCTCTGTGGGATTCGACTCCGGACTTGTAAACCGGATTATATTTGCAACAACCGCTTAGTCCTTTTTATAAGGCATAGTTGGGCGTGATCATGCACAAACCTTTATCGCATTTCCTGCAGAGAAGATAATCAATCTGAGTCTTGCCTATTGAATTCTGGAAAGTGACCAGGTGTTCTTCCCTCTTCGAAAAACTCGAGTTAGCTATAACCAAATCAAAAGCTCTAGCAAAATCCAACAGTGAATTCCCTCCCTCATTCCTATCCCCAAAACCGAACCCGCCATGCACATCATCATAACCTCTAGCACTAGCCCCAATATGGCCATTGAAATCTTCGCCAATGAACAGTTTCTCTATGTGCGGAATACTACGCACCATCTCGTCCAAATCCTCCCAGAATTGCTTTTTGACCTCTTGGTCCAAACCTACCTGAGGAGCGTATGCACTAATCACGTTTACAGTAAACCCACCAACTACCAGCTTGATACTCATCAACCTATCATTTACCCTCCTAACCTCGACCACGAGCTCCCTGAGGTCCCTGTCAACTAAAATACCTACCCCATTCTTACCCCCAGTGCTTCCTGAGTACTATAGTTTAAACCCTCCTACATCTCGCGCCCTAGTACCCTTCCATCTAGTCTCTTGAACACACGCTATGTTGATTTTCCTCTTCTGAAGAATCTTACCTAACTCTATAGACTTCCCCGTCAACGTCCCAACGTTCCAAGACCTAACTCTCAGCCTAGAGGCTTTCTTACCCCCCTTCCCACCCCTGGACCCCACCCCAGCCCCATCCGAGGACATGACCTCACTCTCACATCGTTCACTACCGCCACTATAAGCAAAAGGTATTAGGTAAACACTACCACTAAGAACAAGTAGCGGGAACAAAGGACTACAAGCTACGAACCCGAGAGCTAAAAACAACTCAAAGGCACTACTACGAGAACAGTAACACGAGCAGGCACTAGAACAATGAAGCTACCACGTCTAAGAAACTACACCTATGCAAACACAGAATTAAAATGGATAGATGAAACCTTAAGCTTAAAACACTAATAGATAAGATAGAAAAAGCAATCAATGAAAAAATAAAATAAAGTAACGGGAACTATAATCTCAACTAAAGGTCAGACAAACAGGTGAGAAATAAAACAAGAATAAAATACAATACAAGAAAATAGGTGTAGAAATACAATACAATAGCTAAAGGGGCTATAATCTACAACTAAAGGTCACAACGAAAATATGCAATAAAGATCCAAAATAAAAGATTCAAAAGAAAGATGTTAACAGGTAGATAACAGTATAAACAAGTAGGCAAAGCTATCATTAATGCAATTAATTTGACAATACTAGGGCAAATACTAATTAAAGATTCAAGAACAAACTATTAGAATATCAAAACAATAGAGGAACAATAGAACCTGGATAGCAAACGAACAAGGGGAAGCAATAATGGCGGCTTTAGAGAGAACTCGAATTGAAATCTTCCCAATTGATGTTTTGACCGAGGAATCAAGAATGAAATGTTGATCGTCCCGAAATCAGCAACCGTACGTAATCGGATTGATTCAACAAAAAATGAGACTGAAACCCGATGTATTGAAGACGATCGAAGAATTCCCGGCGACGATCACCAAGACTTTACGCGGCAGAGTTTGCACTGAAAGTTCACCGGAGTTTGAACTGAAGTTCAAAGATTGTAACAAGAAAGCAGATCTTTTCAACAATTGTGTTCTTGCAAAGATAATATCTCGATACGAGAAGTAAATTAGGGTTCCGACGAAGCACGAAACTCGTATATAGAAATTGAATTCTTGAAATTTGTAAAAAAAATTACACAATCCTAATTAACCAAGGAGAAAACAAGAATAAAAGAAAGGGAAAATGATGCAAATTGTGAGGATGAAGGAGAAATCGGGAAATGAGAGTACAGTAGTGAAGGGAATATTCCGGTGGCAATTGAAGCGGTTGACGACGGCGGAGAGTTGTACACAGAGAGAAAAAATAAAGATGAATATCTAGTTATACTCAAGGTGTTCAAATAATGGTTGAAAAATTTTAAAAGTATTTTTCCTATTCTTGGTATTTACATCGTTGTATTACACCCTCAAATCAAAATTGTTGGTGCACATAAACTTATTGAAACGATTTACATGACTTAGAAATTGAAGCAACACAAAAATCATCTCTTGCTACTTGTTTGCTCAGCGTTCAACCAAATACTAAAGTTGAAGATAAGGTAAATTGTATTAAACAAAAGGAGAGAACTCCCGTATACAGGAAGTATACCAAAAAGTAAAAAGAATTTACATCAGAACATGATTCTCTACAAAAGACACTTAATCTTCTATACAAGTAGGGGCTATATGAGTGCACCAAAAAGCGATCAAAGATAAAAGACTACTCTTAAGATGTGAAAAAGAAGACTCAATCTCCTCAAAAGCTCTCCTATTTCTCTCCCTCCAAACTATCCACATGAGAGCTAACGGGGCGAACTTCCACGCCTTTTGCTTTCTTCTTCTACGAAAACCAACCCAGCTATATAGCACTTCCTTTACAATGCTTGTCATCACCCATTGAACACCAAAAAGGTTCAGGATCGCCCATATAGCAGTATCAATAAATCTTGGTGCTCCGCAATCTCCCAATCTTGCATGTTCCTTCTAAATGAGAGGTCTCATACTACCCCCTACATGCTCCTTACGAATCTGTTGAGGCATCATTTCCTTCTAGTTTGAAACTCTGAAGACGTGGGGGAAGGAGACCCTCAGAGTATCCTCTCCACACCACCTATGATTCCAAAAGCTGATTCTCCTTCCATCTCTCACCCTGTAAGAGATGTTGCCACTGAAGGATTCTCAATTCTTCATGATGCTCCTCCACATGTCACACCCGAAAGGTGTTGTGGTTGCCTTGGTCCTCCAACACCCTCCCGTGAAATCGTATTTTTCTACTATGACCTCCCTCCATAGAGCATGCTCTTCTACCCCGAATATCCACAGCCATTTCCCCAACAAAGCTCTATTGAATACCCTAAGATCTTTTACTCCAAGTTCACCCCACTTCTTTGGGGAAATGACTGTCTGCCAATTCACTAGATGATACTTTCTAGTTCCATCCGTTGCATCCCATAGAAAATTCCTTTAAAGCCGCTCCAGTTTTTTTGTGATGCTCACAGGTGCTTGCAACAGGGACAAGTAATAGGTGGGCATACTCCATAAAGTGTTTTTAATGAGCACTTCCTTTCCGCTTTTTGACAAGTACCGTTTCTGCTAGCCTGCTAATCTTTTTTCAACCCTTTCGATCACTGGATTTCAAACCGTAGTATCCTTATGCGTAGCGCCCAATGGGAGACCCAGGTAAGTGGTAAGTAGTGGGAAGGGAGCCCACCTTACATCTGAGAACATAAGACAAAGCATCAATGTTAGCAACCTCACCCACCGGGAAAATCTCACACTTGCCGAGGTTGATTTTGAGACCTGATACTATCTGAAACCACTGCAGGACCTGCTTCAGGTAGGTCAATTGATCCATATCGGCATCACAGAAAACCAAGGTGTCATCCGCAAAAAGCAAATGAGAGACTCTTCAGGCACTGGGCACCTCGATCGAAGCTGAGAATCCTCTCAAGAAACCTCCGCCCGCCGCTCGATCCATAATTTTACTCAAAGCATCCATCACTAGAATGAATAGCATGGGGGATAGGGGGGTCTCCTTACCTGAGCACGGGCTACCGTTTTATTCAGAGATTAGATTAAAGCGAGAGAAGAAACTTTGCCTTTTCAGAAATAATTCAAGAAGATGACAATATCTATAATATAATACTATTTACCGGAGACGGCAGGGGCGCAGAAGAACAAATGTTACCAATTCAAAGCGAAAAACCACGAAAAGTTATTGAAAAATTACGTAAATCGTTCAAAAGAAATATGTAATTTTATTTTTTACAAGTATTGAAATACAAATAAATACTTGTAACTGGTATTAGAAATATAATGTCACACTGCATTAAATAAAATAAAAGACACTTCATAGCCTTGAATTTTTTCCATCCCTTAAAGTTTATGTGTATTTAAATATAGCAATTTTNCCCCACCTCCCTCCTCCGCATGACTGGTAGTGGTAGCGGTATGGTACCCCCAAAAAATCCCCTTACCATGTACCCTTAATTCCCCTTAGCCTCAGTCCCCTTAAGGAACCCCCTTCCCCCGGTACCGCCCCCTTACCCAATCCCTTTAAGTACATAGAACCCTCTTCGGGAGATGAACCAGGACTTGATAGCCTTCCATTATAAACTTCAAAAGTATTTTGCTTTGAAAAACTCCTTCAGTTATCGGCCACCCTTTACTCCTCAATAACATACTCCAAAATTTTTAACTTGAATACAAGTTTCTTTGACAAATCATTAATCTGTTAGAGAATATTGATTGTCGTGTCACCTAAAAACCTGGCATGTTAGCACTAACTTAATTATCCCAAACACTTTGTGTAATATGTACATCACAGATGCATTTGGGGCTAAACTTCTGTAGCTAAATTGTAGTTTCAATGACACAAAGCCAATCATAAGGAAGCACAGGTGTTGGAACTTGGAACACTTCTTGAAGGTCAATGTTAACTTGTATTTTTTATGCAATTATTTAACATACTATCTTCAACATCAGGGTAACCATATATACAAGCAAAATTTCTCCACCATATTGACATTTAGACTAATTTTCTTAAATATTATTAATTATTAAGTATTAAACATTGATTATAGCACTTTGACATATAAATTAGTTATTAAACACCATAATAAACTTGGAGGAAACTAGTTATCCTATAGGATATTACTATTGTGAAGATACAGTCGAAAGCAATACCAAACCCTGACTCTACCTTGTGATAACTATTAAGACTCTTTGAGCACGAGTTGAATTCTTTCAATATAAGAACAGTCTCAGCCCAAAGTACGAAGATTAGAGAAAATAATGACTCTAATGCAGGTCACTGGTCTAGATTAATCTATTAAAACTAGCGAATACAAAAAAAAAAACATGAAATCCAGTTCCCAGATTATGAAGCATTAAGCTAAGGTGTCACTTGATTCAAGTATTTTCTATGCAAGGATTATCATAAAGGGATAGTTATAGGGCAGCCTGGTGCACAAAGCATCCCGCGTTCACGCAGGGTCCGAGGAAGGGTCGCACCCCAAGGGAGTGTGATGTAGGCAGTCTGCCTTGATGCAAGCATCAGTAGCTGATTCCACGGCTCGAACCCGTGACATATCGGTCCCACGGAGACAACTTGACAATTGCTCCCAGACTCCAATAAAGGGAGAGTTATACCATAATAACGAAAGAATTGTTATTCAGTGAATAATAATGTAGGGATTATTATACGATGAATAATAGTACAAGAATAGTCATGTAGGGATTGCCTACTTTAACAGCATTTTGTATTTACATAATATTATTTTTGTTCACATTTTACATCCCCTGGAACAATATATAGATGTTTGCATAAGTTATATTAGGACTAATAATTTAATACCAAAAAGAAAAGGTTGCATTAGCTATTGCAGAGTTGTATACCGAAAATCAAATGTATTAATAGTTATGTAGTGATTATATATAAAATGTAGCGTTTTATGTTGCAAAGCGAATGTTGTATTAGTTATACGTAAAATTATGTCGAGTTTATATTTCCTTATGAAGCCAACTATATGGCTATAGCGGCATTCTTTCTTCCTGGTTTAGGTTTGCTCACTTGCATGTCTTATGAATGTGAAATAGTCTATAACCATAATCTAATGAGTCAAGTCAAATACTGAATACTACTCCCTCTGTTTCAAATTAGATAACACACTTTACTTATTAGTCTGTTCCAAAAAGAATGACATATATCTACACTGGAAATAATTTAACTTTAAACTCTTCATTTTACCCTTTTTACCCTTAATGAGAAGCTTTTATAACCACACAAATGTCATGGCCCCACAAAGCTTTTACCCCTTAAGCTTTTAAGACCACAAGTTTCAAAAAATAAAAAATTCTTAAACTCCGTGCCGAGTCAAACTACCTCGTCTAAATTGAAACGGAGGGAGTACTAGATATTTGGCTGAACGGTGTTCAACTGCAACTCAACCAGAAACCAATTCCATAAATTAAGTTTCTCAATTTTTATCTTTTTTGAAAGCACTTAAGCAGAAACCAGTTCTGTCTAATGTAACTAAAAGCATGATAGTGCAGCTCTTTTCACCCTTTTTCTTTTGTGGGACTCGTAGCAGGGCTTCTAATCTGGGATTTAGCTCCTCTTGTTGCAGCTCAGTGTCTCATTTCCACAATGTTTACTTAAGTAGAGGTGAACAAGGAGACTCCCTGTACCACCTGCCCACCCACCCAAAAAGAAATGAAAAAATATGAGCAGAACACTTTCCTTCCGAGAACAACATACTAAAGAAGAGGTTGGTCTTTCCTAATTAGTAAAAGTATAGTAGACAAAAGATAGTACTACAAGGACTCACAAATTCACATTTCAGTTTGGTATTTCACTCTAAACTAGCCCAAATTTTATGGTCAAATTACTAACAAGCCTAACAAATTGATATTATATAGATGTTCGCATATATTGGATCCACTGCATTGTCCAAGAATTCAAGTTCACTGAGATATGACTTTGACATACCTAAACTGACAAGAAGCTAAGCTGTAAGTCAGCCCAGCTACATGTTCAGCTAATTCAGCTTCGTCAACACAATGTCTTGAATGCACCTTAACGAAATTAATTGTTAACTTGGACAGAACCTGCCCAAAAAGAAAAGGAGGAACTCAACACCCAAGGAATACCACCAGAATTTCAAGCTTACATGAATCAGACAATTAAAAATTTCCAGTAATTACTAGAACAAGTGTTGCAACAACCTCCTCTATAGGTGGCCGTTTCCAACCAATATGATTGGCAGGGTCCTTGTATTGACCTTGTTCCCTATCATCAATAGCAGTAACAATTATCAGTCATTAAACAAGTATCCCAGTTTGTCACAGATGATTATGGATGATAGATATGAAATTCCTTCATAGTAGCTCTTAAGCATACAACAACAAACCCAGTGTAACCCCACAAGTGGGGTTTGGAGAGGGTAGTGTGTACGCAGCCTTACCCCTACCTTGAGAAGGTAGAGAGGTTGTTTCCGGTAGACCCTCGGCTCAAGAAATAGTAGCTCTTGAACATGATAAGTTGAAATGCATGATGGCAGATGATCAAAATTTCACTAAAAGCATTAGCATATGAAAAGGTTACACTACAGTTCAAATGACTACTTCATCTCAGCACTTTCAAACTGAATCAAAGCTTTAGATGCTCGTTGAATTAGGTGAATTACGTGTGCCTCTCTAAAAGCTTCAGCTATTAGAGAGGAGAGAAAACACGTTTATTTACTTACATTAGGTCTGCACACTCACCCTCACATGCGAGCTTGAATCTTTTCTTGAACCAGACACATGAAAATTCTATTTGATAATGGGTGATACTCGAAACCAAGACCTTTGTCTGCTGCAATACCATGTTGAGTTGTGTGACCACCTCTCTAAAAATTTAAATTGGACACATTAATTTGCTTATATGAGGTCTGCGACGAAATTATTCGAACCATGGATCGTACCATTGTGGTACCTTTTGCAGGAATACATTTGGTAGTACCTTTAACCACTGCCTCAATGTGCATCAAATGGAGCATGTTCAAGAAACATTAATCTAGCAAGCATGCCTTCTCTAAGTCATCCAAAATGATTGGTTGCATGCATCAGGTGAACTATGAGACATCTCCAAAGATGTTGATGCACATTTTTATGTAGGAGTTTATTGCACGTTCAGCTATATTTCAGGTATTATTTTAGTTCAGACACTTAAGATACAAATATAAAGAACTTGCGGCAAAAAGAAAAGCAGATTTTTCAACGTTTGTGCAGGGCTTTATCTCTCTGTCTCGTCTCTTCTCTTCTCTTTGTTAGCAAATTGTTTGCCTCTTAGAACACAAGTCTGAACCAAGGAAAACTAACAAGCTTAGAATTGAAAAAGAGTTGGAATAAAGGACAAAAACAAGTATTGTCAACCTTTTGTTGATGTATGCCATAAGCTTGTTTGTGAGGTAACAGACTGTATGAAGAGGATAAAGGCGCTGAACACGGGAAATATGACTCATCAATGATTCGCTATTCACGAGGTCGCAAAACTCCTCGGCCTCACATATGATTAATATATATGGAACTTTGATAACTTCTGATGAAATCTGCGCAGAGTAAGAGTCTAATGACATCAAAAAATTGCAAAGGCTAGAATTAGATAGAAACAATGCAAAAACTTTGAAACTGTAGCAGCAGAAGCATACAATTGCCATCATACACGACAGATGGAAAGCTCAAAAGAATGAAATAAGAGACTAGCAAGACAAACTAAGCTCTTTCTAACCCCAATGGACATCCGACGTTATTCTTGGGATGTAAGTGTTACTCTCTTCGTTTAGATTCAAAAAAGTTGGGGGGGGTGAAGAAATGAGTATAGTGGGCCGAAACACACAAATGTGAATGTGATGAAACATTAAACAAAGGGGAATTTGTGGGAGGGAGAGCATCTGCAGCAACTCTTAAGGAGAAACAGAAGAAAGAAAAAGGAGAATTGGGAGAAAACTGTAGGCTGGCCAGCAAATTGGTGCCACCAAAACCCTCCAGCCGCATTAATTCCACAAGCTGTAATAGGATATCAACACCCATTTGGACTTGAGCCACAGCCACAAAGCTTCAAAATAACAAGGTATTTCATCTTATTTGACATACACACACACAAATGCACACACATCTCTATAGGGGTTTGAGTTAAATTGTAATGTTGGACACAAACATACATGCGCATATATATAAAAGGTTTGGTTAAATTGCAACCAAGAGGTTGTGAGTTTGAGTCTCCCCAAGAGCAAGGTGGGAAGTTCTTGGAGGGAAGGATGCCGGGGGTCTATTTGGAAACAGCCTCTCTACCCCAGAGTAGGGGTAAGGTCTGCGTACACGCTACCCTCCCCAGACCCCACTAAGTGGGATTATACTGGGTTGTTGTTGTTGTTGTTGTTGGTTAAATTGCAATATTAAAACTTGGGTATTATGAGATTTGAGTTGAATTGATGGAGTTTGGTCTCTACAGGAGTGTGTAACCTTAAACATGAAATTTTATTACCAGATAAGGAAAAAGAAATTTGCTTTTGCAAAGATAATCATCATTCAAATGGATATCACATAATTATGTACATATTTGAGCACCAAATACAGTCAGTTGTGAAACTATTATTATTCTACTAAAGCTAAATGTGTACAAAAGTTAAATATTTGACACGTTAAAAAGCAATTATAAAAAGGTGCTTCGAGATGACAGGCTAACTGAAATCTGCCAAGATTCTGAAGAATAAATTACCTTTGATATTTCCTCCGGAACACTTATTGACCACACAATAGACTTTTCAATTGGATTTGATGAAACTCGGAAGGAAAGACCTTTTTCCGCAAGCCTTGATAGCAAATGACCTGACTTGACAACATAACCATGTAAGACAGTTGTAATGCATAATAATGGACAAAGGAGAAAGGGAGAAACAAACAGAAAAACAAAATCTACCTCCGATCGAGCCTAGTTCCACAACTTTGGTGTCAATGTGAGCTACAATAGACTTATGGGCAAACTTTCCCTTTTCCCACTTTTCCTTTTCCTTTTCTCGCTTTTTTATCTCTGCAGCTTCAGCCTTCTGGGCCGCCTTTTGCAATTTCTCTCGCTATATAATGAACACTAGATTATATGCCATAACTAATTAACCTCGTCTAAATAAATAGGTTTTTGTTGGGAAGACTTACCTCTTTCTGCTGCTTCTTTTCTTCATTTAGGCGAAGACGTTCCTCCTTTGACATCCTCGTTTTCCCTGTCACTCCATCTACACTGCTTGTGTTACTTTTCTTGCCTTTGCCGTTGCCTTTACCTCTCGGTCTTGAGATGTCATCGTTTAACTCCAAAATATCACTTTCGTCGTCAGGATGACCATGGTCCTGAAAGCAAACTAGACCGTCAAAATTTACGTAGAGACCAGGCCTTTCGAGAATTTAAAAGAAATTCTAGATAAAAATACAAACATATGTTAAGAACGATGCTTTTGAGCGCATCCTTCAAGCATATCTCTGGATTGAATTATGATCTCAAGATGCGTTCTCCATTTGGCAGAATATGCACCCTATAGTCCTGGATATGAATTTGCTCTTCAGGGTGCATAGATCTCTAATATTAGATTGAAACTCTTCTGTTCTTCTGATCACTTTTAAAAAAAGAAAAGAAACCCTCAGAAGTAACTTTTGAACCTTTTGGATATTTGCAGTATACAGGTAGCTGTATTTAAATGAAATGAGTGGTTCACGAACAAAACTAACTCTCCTAAGTGAAGCTTAACTAGGGGGAAAAAAACCTGTTCATGAAGGACTTCTTCCATATTTTATTCTCTGGAAAAAATAGCACTTAGGCTTTCTGTTTTCCACCTCAGGTCCTCCATGCTCAACAGCCCTAAACCTCCCCCTCACTTTCTTCCTCAATCTCTCCCTCTCACCTCATTCTCGCAGTTACTCTGTTTCCCTCTCAGTCAGCCGTTTTACTGGTGCGGCAAAATTATTGTACTCCAAGGCTTTAGGTATTGCGTCCCTTCGACGTGTCCAATGTAAGAAA